TTAAATGTTAGAAGAATTATTGTTTTAATAACCTGCATTTATTAAATAATAATTAAAGTTTGAAATTAACTGTCTTTATTTTTTAAATAATTAATTTATACATTTTCGTGGATTATATGGTGCTACTTTACTGTATATATATATATATATATCGGTTCATTTAAACACTCCTATTGTACCTATGTTTGCTTTAGTTATGGCATAAACTCAACCATTCAACCAGACTGGTTGAACTGAGCTTCCACATTTAGAAACATTCTTACCATAACACAAAGGAATAGAATAATTCATTACATTATTTCCATATAACATTTGCGAGATGTTACAGATATAAACATTTCTCTTCGGGGGGGCTTGAAACTTTCATTAACTCGAAATTCTGCCGAACAAATACTATCAATAGTTTAATATTTTCTTTTATCAGATGAGCTAATTTCAAAGATAAACGGATGAAAAGTAAATCGACGGCATCTCTCTACGATGAACACAACCGATATGGGCAACAATTGTCTAGTTTAGAGTGAAACTTTAGGAGAACCAATGTACAAAAAGTAGCTCCTGCGGAAAGATAGGCTCAGTTTTGCCCGAGATTATATCCTATCTGGGAGGACTGAAGTGGCTGTAATGTGATGAGCTATTGGTTCTTGTAATGCAGTTGGTGAAACGAGCAATGACTGATTTGACCAAAGGTAGCCATAAACTACTTAGTTCCGAGCCCGTTTAGGGATGGTTTCATCGTGTTGATGTAGAAAGATTCTTTGATTCTTGTTTTCCAGAATTTATCAGAGTTGATATGTCTGCAGTTGTCCCAGTCTGTTTTTATGTCCATTCAATGTTGCACGTTTTGCTAACGCAAAATTTTGTGTTTTCAGCAGTCTTTATGTTTTATCATAATTGTTTCCCGATGTCTTAAAGTTTCTCTGGTGTAGGTTTAGTTACAAGAACAGGGTATTCCATAAATTAAATTTGTCAGATGTTCTTTGTTTAGAAGAAATCTTACACTTTCTCCACAAAGTGTCACTCTGAACTAAACGGTTGCTGCCTATTTCAACTTTCTTCACCATAAGACTCTGCCTAATTCATCTATAAAAGAATAATAGCATACTTTGTAATATGTTATAACACATTTCTATAGTTTTATCTAATTCTTTTAATACTACCAATGACTTTTTTTTTTTCATGTATATTTACGTCTTCAGTTTGGGACATCACAGTAACTCCAAACTAGTAGTGTACTTAATGGTCAAAATTTCTTGCACACAATATTTCCCTTAGACTGTGCGTAAACAATAACCAGTTTATCCACCTCTTGACATTAGAAAGAACTGTTGATTTAGATCTCAAGATCGGTTCGTTACTGATTTACACCGACCTTTTCCAGGAAGAAAATGACTTAACTAATGTTTAATATATCATGATTTATTATATATACAATATATTCATTATTGCTGATTAGGCTGCTTGGTTATTTGACAAAAGTTAGAGAGTTTACCTGTGGCTCTACAAGTAATAGACAGAAGCTGTAGGTAGAGATAACAAAAAAAAATATAAACAGGCATGTTTAAATATATTACTTTGTTACTTTCACAAATGAAGACTTCTTTATTATTATAAACAAATATTTAAAAGAAAAACAGTCAAAAACAAACTTAATTTACTGTACAGTTTTAAAGAATAGATCGCATTAAAATTTCTTCTTTACTCCTTGTGGCAGAATGCTTTCTTTGGCATAGTTAAAAAATGACAACAGTCCGTAACGCTTACTGCGTCTTGAGAAATAATTTGTCACAACATCACTGTCCTCTGAAAAAAAAAAGAGGAAATAAATTCCTACGTGTGTATAAAAAACAGAAACTCGCACTAGCCAGAAAATACTCGTCTTTTACTAATATTAACTTAATTAGTTGTTTTGTTTTTAGAAGGTGGGTTGAATACGGTATTATTAGTTTGGGAAACATGAAATGCTTATAGTGGTGTTCACATCAATACTTTTGTAACAACTAAATTTACAGTATTCTGATATTAAACAGACTTACACAACGTCAGAAAAATGTGTCTTTGTTAGTTGTCCATACCTGATACAATAGGTTTAGACTCCGAAACTGTTGGTAAGATGTTTTCGTTGGCAGAAAGTGAAATGAAAAAGGCAAAAGGTACGATCCACAAACAAAGTGTGAAATACGCCAAGACCTAAAAACGAAAATGGTTTTCATTTCATTCTCACACTTTTCACATAAAGTCCAAATTTATCCTTTCTAAACTTTACAGCATAATGACATTTACTTAACATAAACATGACAAATGTGTTCACCACAAAACAGATTTTAAACAGACAGGAACCAAATTATTGATTTATCAAGTTTCTGGAAAACTTAAAACTGTACAATCCACACAAACGTAAAACGACATCGACACTAGCAAGTACGACTAACATTTGATAAGCTTACTTATAGCCATAAAATAAGTGTACTTTCATAACATAACATTTTGGGACAACATGGGACCTATTGGTCCATCTTGGCTGTTTCATCCTCTAAGCTAAACTCAAACTAATGATAATTAAAAAAAAAAATCTTAAATCCAGCCCTTATCATTCATATACTTATCAAGCTTTCTCTTAAACTCACTTAAATTTACTGCCTCCACAACGTCCAAAGGCCAACTACCCTGTTAGAAAAATAAAACTGTCTTAGCTGATGATGACTCCAAAATTTATATTTGTGTCCCCTAATCCTACTATTCTCACTGTTACGGTTAAATATGGAAAAAGATGATGAATCAACACTATCAATTCCTTTTACAATCTTAAACACCTCAATCAGATCCACACGAACTCTTCTTTCTTCAAGAGAAAACAATTTGACAGGTTTCAACCCCTCCATCCCAGGCACCATTCTAGTAACCCTTCTCTGAACCCCTTCCAACAATTCAATGTCTTTCCTAAGATAAGGATCCTGTGGCTTACACTATTTATTTGAGAATCTTTCTCTTGTTGTGGGGAAAAACATTTTTATTACCTCGTTTAACTACCCAAAACAACTATTTCTGTAAGATATCAATCTTTTCATCTGTCCATAACGGTTCAAGCAAGTAAAATCCTTTACGGAACTTACAAGATATATTGTTGACAAACATCCTAACATTTTTCACAAGTTGTAAAATTAAGAATGGTAAGCACGATAATAATTCAGGAACTTCACTAAAGAAAGTCAAGATAAAACACTGTTATAGTAAAGCCAAGATAAAACACTGTTATATTAAAGCCAAGATAAAACACTGTTATAGTAAAGCCAAGATAAAACACTGTTATATTAAAGCCAAGATAAAACACTGTTATAGTAAAGCCAAGATAAAACACTGTTATGGTAAAGCCAAGATAAAACACTGTTATGGCAAAGCCAAGATAAAACACTGTTATGGTAAAGCCAAGAAAAACACTGTTATAGTAAAGCCAAGATAAAACACTTATAGTAAAGCCAAGATAAAAACACTTATAGTAAAGCCAAGATAAACACTGTTATA